ATATTCAACAACACATTGTACACTATCACGAAACTCCGCCACAGCCTTCTGGACGAGCGCCATCGAGAGATTCTGCCACGCGACCGTGATTCGGTGCCTGAGTTCAGCGAGGTCGTTGATTTCTCCGCCACCGTAGACCAGCCCAAACCACGGTAATCGAGGGGTTTGGGACAGGTAGCAGAGGTGGATATTCCGTCTTCTTAAGATGCTCAACGCCCTTCGATTCCAAGTAGGCGAGAGTTTTTCCAACGCCCTTCGATTCCATGTGCTGGCACCCAATCCTGTAGCAGTACGAAGTTTCCAAGATGGTACAGGCGACGACATGAAGGCAGGATATTCTCCTCGAGTTGGTCGATGTAACCGTCAGCGTTCACTTTCAGTCCGGGGTCCACGAAGAAAATATCGGTCTTCCCATTCCAGGAACTTCCGGTCCATACCATCAACCCGCGCCTTGGCGACTGCGGTGAAGATGATATCCTGGACCGTAGCGACGTCGGAGCTGCTCGATGTTGGAGGTCTTCCAGATCGAGAGTACTGGTCTCCAGGTAGCTATCCATGGGTGACTCCATACAAGAAGTTTCGCAGCTGTTTGGAGGTGACGTGAATTCCAAGGCCTTCTCCAGTCAGGCTGCGATTGGAGATGACTTCATATTTTGGTGTACATGAAGGTGATGGGCGAGAGCCTGCTCCTGCTTATCGAGGAACATCTTGGGTATCTTCCGCCCTGGTACTCGTATCCACGTCTTCCGTCCAAGCTGCGTAAATTACTCAGATTTGACTCGCCGATGTGTCTTTTTTGTCCCCCCCCCCGTATATTACTATAAGAATACCACTGACTGCTGTGTATGGCGAGATTTCTATTAACTAGGGCAAAAAGGAAGGGTCTAATGAAATTTTTGGACCACTTTCACTCCTCGCTAGCCAATACCCCGAATAATGCTAAGAAGGAATCTTCATTGAGAAGCTCCTCCCTTTCAAAGCCGTCAAGAACGGCGATGTACGCCCATAAAGAAAAAAGGGGCAAATAAAAGAATTAGTCGAACTTCACGATGACAAAATATCCCTTAGATCTTTAATAGCAGGAGTTACGTTAATGTCTCCTCGCCCTGGAGATGGTTGTAGAGTATTAGGTCGTACTTGCCTTGTCACGGAAATGTTGGGATGATTAAGCGTGTGAGAATTTTGACAGTGAACAGACCCACCACTTGGCATTATAGCTAGCTACCTCTTTCCCACTCCCCGTCCCTGACCGCCCACCTATCTTCCTAGAAAGTGGAGGCAAGGGAATATATGGCTGGTGTAATTGAGTGACCTTGGACTCTTGACTTGAAGTGGGTGTATTTGAGGCTTCAAATGAAGGGAATAATACTGGAAGGACAACTTTTCACCACAGTGACGTGCGCTGACTGCAGTTCAGCACATCCTGGGCGCAGCGATGGCGAAAAAAGAGGAGCTACAAGCGGGTCACCTGTAACAGTGCCCAACTCGCCTAACGCGGCAATGCGGCAGCTCATCATCTTGTCTAACCAAGGATTAGCCGTCAGTATGGTCGAGATGCTGCTGCTCTCATGCCATGTTTTACATCCACATATCTTGGTTCAAATGGAACGCACTGCTGCTCTACCTCCTGTTGTCGTTTGAAAAAAAAATTACGCTGCTCGGTTCAGACGGAGGGAGGGGGGGGGGCATCTCGGTGTTTCGCTAGTTCCTTTTGCTAGTTCATTTTAACTACCTGTCAACTTATCAACAGATGTTATTCTGGCCACACCTGTAAACTTTTGTGGAGCTGTGGAATAGAGCAAGTGAGCCACTTTGATCAATGAGTTATAAGTCTTCACAAGGTGGCCTGTACAAGCTTTGCTCAGTAGCATTCGGTGCCCCCACAGAGTCAAACTGCTCCCAGAATTTTATGAGGTCCTCCTATAGCCTACGAGAAAATCGAGTAGAGGATAAAGTTATTCCATTCCCTCATAAAATCATTACACTTCAGAGACAAGAAATTTCTTGAAGATTGTAATTCACTGCTCACATGGGCAAATGGCCTGGGTTTTCTGGACAGAGAACGGAAAAGAAAAGCACCTCCTTTGAGGTCTTGTAAAAACCCCAAAGAAAGCGTTGTCCCTAACGAGTAGTGCCCTAAAGTCCCGCAGATAAGTCTGCCAGAAGTCACGATCGCTGCCGAACACTTATGGAACCCCTTAAGTTGAAACCAAACCTATGAGAAGAAAGAACCGACAGAACCCAAATGATGTGACCGGTGAAAGCACTAGGAAAGGGTGAACGGTTGAGGAAACGATGAGAGCTCAGCTAACAGAAGCTTGAACAAATAACAGGAGAAGGTCCATTGGGAAGAAAGATTAAAGTACGACTTTGCAAGTAGAGCTGTAAAAAGATAATGTGAGCTCTTTCCAATAGAGGGATTTAAAGTTCAATGGAAGACTTCTGTTCTGCGATTCCCCTAGTCCAAAGTGTCGCAAACACTGAAGCAGCCTGAAAGCGTATTCCATTTTTCTTCTTTGCTCTTCCTCTTTTTCATTGAAAGGTAAGTGGCACGGTAAATCCAAAAGATGTGCAGGATCAATGCGCCTAGCAGGACAGCTCCACTGAGCAGGCCCCGTGGCGATTTTCAGGAAAGAATACCCTTATATCGCCATATACAACTGCTACATACCGACCCGGACGTCCACAGCGTCCGCCTGTCCACAACGTCAGACCGATACTGATGCTCGAATCGCTTCGTTTGCGAAGTATAGTATGAAGGAAGTGATTGATATGAAGTTTGTGCAGTGCTGCATGAATGTACTACCGTAGTTACTGGCACTATTGCAACGGAAGCGGCGAAGGCGAAGGTGGTGTAGTGACAAGTGCACGCTTACCACGCGCACGGTCCGGGGATGAACTCCTGGCCACATTGCATTCAATAAGCCACTACGATTTTAAATGGAAACAGAATGTGTGCCGCACCCCACAAAGGACTGAGCAACGGCGGAGACTTTAACCTTTAGGCCAACGGGAAACTCGTCCGAAAATGCTTCCCGAGTTGAGCAGAACGAAGGCTTTTTTGCAGGTTTTTGACCGTTTCACCTCGCTTTTTCCCATTTTCCACTTTGTGGCACAACTACTACCATTGTAGACCGAGTAAAAAAATGATAGTGCCTTACGCTTTCAACTGATAGGTTTAGTTACCGGGTTTTAATGTATAATTCTCATAAATGAAAGAAGTGAAGGCTGATTAGAAGCAAGAGGTACGCTTCTCGTTCTCTGACGAACCCCTTTGAAACCGCCAGCTTCTTAGTTTCCTCGGTGAGCTGGGGTTGACGATAAGTTGGTGGATTATGTGACAGCCCGACTCCGCCCACACGACCAGTATGGACTATGTTTCTATCACATGATTCCGTTCACAATGTAATGAAAAAGTGTTTCAAACATCTGTAATGTCCTGTCCAATAGTCGATATTTATTCACAAACTACAGTTATAATCGAAATGAGAAATAACTGTGATGAATGACAAGAGTTGAATGACACCATAGAAATGTGAAATCAATGTGAAACTAAATCGAATCAACAAATACAAATCACTGGTACAGTTTGATCATTACTGTTTCAAAGAACAATATAAAAATTGATTAGAATGTTGATTAGATTCGTTATCATATTAAGAGATACGCAACTTGCTCATATATCGGCCTTGGAGGGGGGGGGGGGTGTCTGGGGACTCTGATGTGAAAGCAGTGGCGATACACGGTTGTTGGGTCGAAGGAAAAAAGATGAGAGATGAAGCTTTCTTGTGCCCTCTGCGCCCTCTTATGCATACGGTGTCCACCTCTCTGATTCAGCAACATTCTATTCTACACTGTACACCGTCGCCACTCCCGCATCCAGTTACATGCACAATCCCCCTTTAAGGCCGCGATATGGATAAACAAGTAGTACTTGTAAAGTACTCCTTCAGAACTTCACAAATATAAATATCATCAACAAATACAACCAATGTCTCGTTGCCTTTTTTTCGTTTAATGTTGAGAAAATTCAAAATAATAATAGATACACATATGAACCCGCTTATAGAAAAGCACAAGTTTCAGTCTTCAAAAATTTTGACTGGTTTACTGTTTACTGATGTTACAAATTACAATACAAGTAGTATTGTAAAATTATTACATATTAAGTGAAGTTTCGATCAACCTTTTTGAGTGCCTTTCTATTTGGAACAGTGGCAATGTGGCTGGTAACAGCACCAATGTGGCAGTTGAATTGCAGCTTTAGAAAGAGAAAGAAAGTAGTAATTGAAAGCAGTTTTCAGCAGATTCACAATGGCAGAATTTGATACCTTGCAAGAAGAAGGCTAGGCAAAAAAAAATATTGTGCTTATTTTTGAGGACATTTGAAAAACTCATATAAAAATTTTAAGAGATAACCACAATTCTTAAAAAAACAAAATTGGAACCCTAAATGAAATTCATAAATACTAAAACTCTTGATTTATCACCAGCTGTAAGGAGAAAGAATTTTAAAAGGACTACAATGCGGTATGTTCATCTGAATCAAATTGTTCAATTCAACATGCCAAATGGATAAAACTATAATAAGATTAAAGCTCAGAAGAAGATGTCGGCACTGATTTCGCCAATATCCAGCTTTTTCAATTTTCAGAATAACTCATAATAAACAGGTTAATTATCAAAACAATAAATAGTTCCCTTTAGAAAAAGTCCTGCACGAGCTCAGAGCGATGCAGCGCTCGACGACGAATCGCCACTGGACGTGCACAATGTGTCCATCGTAGCGCCAGAGCCATGGAAGGCTACCTTAAAATGGGATATTCTCAGATTTCCATACTTAATTCATTTTTCGACCGATAATTAATAAGTAGTGAATAATAATAGTCTCATCAGTCCCCATAACTCGATGTTAAATGTCGTTTGGGTCCCAAGACGTAATTTAACAAGTTGGGAACATGAAATCTAAACAAATTGCATGAAACGTCGCAAAGAGAAAAAGCATGACAGCATGTGTACAGTCTATATCCCGGAGATGGGGTGGGCGTAGTGGCAGCGTGGCGACGGCCGCGCCTTATTGGGATGTTACCGCTGTGGGAGAAATGCAATCGTGCTTCTGTCCAGAGCAAGACAGAATGATTCCTGTCTCAAATGGAAAGCTCTGAAGAAAAATGTATTATACGTCATGTTTGAACGGAATACGCAGCCACGCCCACTCCATCTCCGTGGTAAGGCACTACAGCTAACGTTCCTGCACACAAGAGAGCATATGAGGGGGTGTGGAATGGAGCCTGGCAATGGCATTTTCTGCCACTGCGAGCTCGCTATGGCATCAACGGTGGAGACGTCGCGTTGTCCGAGCCCACGTCCACGACCCTTCATACGCCTTCTTGGCATCATTGCTATACATATATCACACGGTCAGATTATGGTAAAGGCACATTAAAAGCTCGATATATGGGAGACCCAGCATGACAGAGCTTCCCTCAATGGTATGCCCTCCTCTTGGCCAAGAAGTCTCCGCCCTCACGACGAGCGCGGAAAACTAACTTCAAAAACTGAAAACTATCTTACCGTGACTCTGTTTATTGGTACGAATGAAGGATAGCTGGGACATGTTGGTACACCCGGTTGACCTGGATATGATGAAAAATTTGTCTTCTGATTGCTCGAGTCCTCCTCATCTGAACACATTGTACTTTTCTTCTTAGAGCAGTTCTATAAGGTACCGCTAAAATCGTGACCTACCCGAGTCAAAATCCTCAAATTTCCATGAAATGTCATCCCTGTTACTGATCTGTCGAGCATAAGATGTTCCAGGATCCACCGCAATTGAAGCTTTTATACTGAAGTATTGTTTATTTGAATCAAGGAAAGCAATCAAGCGATCAATAAATGTGTGTACTCAGAATAAGGTGGCACGAATATTGATCGGATAAAATCAAGCACGTACGGTGGTGGTGGAGGAGGTTGTTTCGGTCGTTGCAAGATCGTACTGTGTGGAACAGAGTTCGGAGTTGATGTCCCAGTGGTAACCTGCAAAAGAATACCAGTAAAACCACAGCAATAATGCGCCTTCCGGTCCTAGTCCCTTCTCAGACTCGAACTGACAGCGTGTAAAACTGATAGTGAGGCGAGTAAATGAGTCTTAACCTTCTCGTACGCGCCACATGTGACCCTCTCGAATTTCAGGGCGAATGTTACGCCTGCGATTATTCAGACAATCATTGCCCGTAAATAAAAATGTTCAGTTGTAAAGAAAGCTTTGCACGTTCTCAGTTGGCAACAGAAAAGAAATGTTAACGAAGAAAGTAATAGAAGAGTGAACGTACTGTAACTGTACTGCGTTTGCGAGATTGATATGGACTCGAACTGAGAGCACGAATTCTGGCTTGATGGAAATTTGAATCGTGATCTTTATGAACTTTAAAGCAGTTCAACATTGTTCCTCTGTATCGCAGAATAACGGCTAATACCGTAGCCGAGATGGAGATGAAGCTGACTCCGAATAGCCACTGAAAAGTAAGTTCTATAATTGTAAACCATATTTCACGCATTTCAACTTTGAGCCCGATTTCACCCATCCAATTTCCCGAAATCAGGTCTTATAGAACATACTTAACGAGAACGAGAATGCTTCGAGAAACGCCAGTGTACTAGTTGCGCTTATATTGTCCTTTGAACGAACATTTTTCGAGTCTACAACGTAGCAGGAATAGCTTTTGGGGCGTGGCTATCTCGCTGGCAGGCGGAGCAAGAGCAAACTGAACTTCGCACATAAAAACAGACCAAAATAGAGATTAGACAGAGTTGTGCCTGATGTAGCTAATTAGGCGAGAGGTAAAACCTTGTAGAAAATAAGTGTGAGACAGTGTCAGACAAATAAGGCGAGAGAGCATACAAACAAGCTAGACAACAGACAGCAGCACTGCGGGCGATAGGCACATGCGTTCAGGTGTAGCCGCAATCAGGACTTCACCCGTCACGAACGTCGGACAGCTCCCATCAACCACTGAAAGGGAAAAAGAGGCACATAGTGCTTGAAAAGAAGAAAATAAACAGTTGGAAAACTTTGCTAACCACGCAAGTGGGATCCTGATCCCCGACGACGAAATGCACCCCCTTTATGTGGTTTCCGTAACAGATGTGCCCTATTGAGGAGGCGCGAAAAACGGCAATGTACTACGTTCCAGGGTAAGATAAGATATGACAAAAACCTGTTGTAAATAACGGCGCTGCTCCACATCCGCAGGGGCATTTGCACTTTCGCTAGTTCCCTCTACAGGTTCATGTTGATTGCAAGGTCGCCTTTAGGAGAGCTCTATTGCGAAGCTGTGAAGTGGTACAAGAGAACTACTTTGGTGTAGGGATTTACAGGATTTCACAGGACTTCCAAAAGTATCATAGAATGTAGGCTTCGTTGTGTACTATAGAGTGCCCCACCAAGCCGAAGTGAGCTCAGATAATAATGCCGCTCGTGATTTTAGACCCGTAAGTGCATGAAAGCAGCCTGATCCTGCAGTGTAGCTCGCCGGCGCTACAAAGTGCAGTTACGAGGAAATGACCCTATTTTCGTGGGTTTTCGGGCATTTTCTTTGCCCTTCGTTGACAATAGCACACTCAGCGCTAGTTTAAAACAACAAACTTCAGGCACTACTATCGTAAACACTACCCCGAAATGTTCCCAGTATAACTAACAAGGGGCAAGGGGGGGGGGCATGGCCGCGTACTTTATTTGCAGTGACGGCGACAGCGCTTTTGGTGGAATATTAAAGAATGTCGACATTTTTAATTTCTGACACACAGTTGCTCGCTGTTGGGAGAAAGGAGAGGGGGGGGGAGCGGTCGTATTTGCCTTTGAGAGAAATTTGCGGAGGTAAAAACTTGCACTCAGTTGTTGACTTTTGGCGAATTCCCCGATTCACATGAGCTATAAACTACGTGCACTACGGAAGAAGTAGAAAAATTTCAGAAAATTCTGGAATAACTGGGAAAAAGGAGGAATGTTGGGAAAACCTAGGAAAAGCTTGATAGGATAGGAGGGGGGGGTGGTCGCGTCAGGAGGGGAAACTAGGAGAGGGGTCAAATTTTCTGTAAATGTCCACCAGCGGCAGAACCTACCCTTACGGAAATACCCGGAAAGCGTACCCAAGCTATGTTCAAGTGAAGTGTGCAGCCGCGCCCTCTCCAGCGTCGTTTTAAGGGCTGCTACCACTGATTATGTGACGTTATCTAGTAGCTGAGTAAGAAGGATACTAGTTTAGGACTACTTAGAGTTCACCAAACGCACACCAAACGATGCCCACTGCTAACTTCTGCATTTCTCTATCTTTTGCAAGAAAATTGAACATACAACTTTCTTCTACTCTCTTGTAAAACATTGCTGTTATAGTTGCTTTATATGCTATTGTGGAAGTGGCATCCTTGAGAAAACAGTACAGGGAACCAGAAAGCATCACGAAAGAAGGGCATAATGTCCATACATAAAAAAATAATAAGAGTTACAAGCATTCTTTGACGCACGTGGTGTAGCGGCAAGCGGCACGCTTACCAAGCGCGCGGTCAGGGTGCCAAATCACGGATGATTTCCCGCTTAAGTCAATCAGGCCTTCTACGTTACGAGAGCAGTACGCTGGTGTCAGATACCCCTGGGTATCTGACACCAACTTGTCAGTGAAGTACGAACACTGACTTGTACACCAGCTGGTCTCAATAACTAATTGTATTGGCCACGTCGCATTCAATAAGCTACAACTGTTCTGAATGGAAGTATGTAGTATGCGTGTCGCATTCCCAAAAAGGGATTGATCAACGGCGAACGTTCTTGCTTTGTCTTTTACACGCGCTCTTATACAAGATCAGTCACGTTCTACTCGAAAGAAGTATCTTGAAAACCGCCAGTAATAGCAGTAATAATAATAATAATAGCAGTGATGAGTAAAAATGGAAGTAAACAAGTAATAAGTGAAGAAGAAAACAACGTAGATGAAAATGCACCTTGGGCGGGTATCTAGTTTTGGAGGTGCAATGTGAGAGGGACAGGCGCGCACCCTCAGTGTAAACTGGTCATGTGGCTTTCATCATCTCGAACGAGTGTAGTAAGTCCGCGCTCACAGATTTACTACTGACACAGAGAAAATGTCTCCAAAATCACAATCATAACACTTGAGCTGTCCTACTACTACTAGTTACTGCCTTTCTTTCGCTTATGCTTCTACGCTGCACTTCTTCTCGATACGCTATTCACCAAATTTAAAACAGTCTAGAAGCCCAGCTCAACTCCATGTTCGCCCCTGTGAAGTAAAATGTTTTGCCCATAATAAGCAGAACTGTGCTAAGTCGTTAACAATTTATGAGCATTACTTACAATTACTACTGGCTGGATTCGATAGGTACAAGTCTCCGGATGACAATTCCAGCTATTACACTGTGCCGGCAAACCGCAGTCACACTGTTCATCCTCCTCAGTAACACCATTTCCACAAATTGGTTCGCTACTGTAAGAAAACTTATTAATTTGGAAAAAATCAAAAAGATGTAAGGAGAATTTCTGGAAAGTAAAGTCACATTGATTCGAGCGGTTCTGTTCGCATACATTTCTTCTGATACATCACATTGACGAATTGCTGAGCAGTACAATCGTGATCGAAACCTCTGAAAATCATGACAAAGGATTACGGCCTCGACAAATAGGATTCCCCTTTGCTCTTACTTTAGTATCTTTATATTCCATAATAATCGCAACAATTGTTTATTACGGACATCAATGAACGATGGCGTTTTTTTTTCTAACCAGAACTTTGGGCAGAAAAAGAAATTGTTCGAAATAAATTCCAAAAGGGTGGAGTCAAATGCCCATTTCTGTCGCGAGGGCACTCCTTTTTAACGACTGGCAAAATGCCAAAAGTGAACCAGCAAACAAAGGAATGAGAGTACTGCTTCTCAGAGATCGAACCCCCCCCCCCTCCATAGAAGAGTTCAGAATAGAGCACGCAGAACGCGTCATCTTTCACTCGAAAATCAAAGGATAAAAGGAGTCGCTTTTTTTGCAAGCCACTTCATTCATCATATTGCCTACTTCTCGTGTAAAACGCTTTGACTTTTGAGTGAAACGTTCGGTGAAATCTTAATTTTACATGCAACCGCAAAATGTCCAAGCAAACGTTTTGACGTGCTATTATGGCATTGTTCGCTGCGATGCTGAGGCGGGTCAATAGGGTTGGGTTTGGCGTGACGCCAGCCCGTCCTCCTCCGATCGCTGAAGAGAGGAAAGCAACAACAAGTGGTGGACAACGTCCTGGAACGGCTCAAAATCCTCCCCTCCCTACCCTGACACGCCGTAGCATCAGCACTGAACAACACTTACAGTCCTGCGCCATAATCTGTGAGTGGTTATGGCGCATGGACTGTAAGTCCACGGCCGTACTTATTGCCAGCAAAGCGAAACAGCTTATACGATACCGAAATTCGCGAAACCTTTTGGCCAGAACTAGACTCGTGACCGAAACCACTGATCAATCAAGAACGAAGGGTAACACAAAGAAAATGATCAGTAAATCTTGTCTTTTTTTTCGTAGGTTCTCATCGTATTTCTGTGAATGAGGGAGGGTAACAGAGTTGTACCATCGACCGCCATCAACTTGTACCAGTTTAGGTGGATTGATCGCTTCCGACCACTGGTGTGGAGTTCGTGCCAAAAAATGCTGGTGCATAAGGAGGACTCATTTGTCGATGAGATTGATGGCAAGGACGGCGTTGTAACGACAAGCAAGGTTTAGCGGTCATTTTTTCTTAGAAGAACAAGGGGGTGTAGATGTCAAAGAGAATTAGTGCGGAACAGCAACCGATAATTGAACACAAACCCTTATCTAGGAGCCGTAAGGACTAAGGTATATATAAGTATAGGTATGGTAAGGTATAAGGCATCGTTGGGAGAATCCCATCACGAAGGTGGTACCTGATTGTAGGAGGGTCGTATCTGGTAATGACAGGTGTCCCGAGAAAAGAGTGAAAGTCGTGCCAACGTTTGCGGGTTTTTCCCGTTTTATGTGTATTATACAGCCTCCCCCAAACTTCTATTTGGCGGGCATCCAAGGTCCCATACAACTACGAAATTCAGGAAAACGATAGTTAGCATGGAGGAATGTTATCGTACCAAAGGAGGAAATTGAGGTGATCCTTTACACTGCCATACCTCCCATCCCAATGCTGTAACCTGTTCAGGAGCCAATTTTCGCGTGACAATGTACAGCAGGCTAGGCACTTCATCCAGTTCTGAGTAACTCGACAGTGAGGAAAAAAGCAGAAAATAAACATGCCAATTCCTAGATAGAATCCCCATTTCGATCCCAGTTTCTACGACTCCATCTTCAACACTACAGTGCGTAACAAAAGTATGTGGACACCTCAAATTTTGATTTTGCGAAGTTGCCTTTGGATTTTGCGATCTGAGACCATCACTGTTAGATTCCTCATAAGCGAAAGTATAGGAATGCACTACTTCTGAATACATTGTGAACTACTGTACAATTATTTATTGTTTTGAAAAAATTTCTTAATAACAAAAGTATGTGGACACCTGAGAAAGTTCAAAGTTTGACTCCAAATCTGCAACCCATATCTATCGTCTCTGCTCCCCATTAATCTGTACTCATGCCTCGTCGTGGCAGTACTCTCTCCGAAGACGAACAATCTCAGATTCGAGCTCTCAGTGCTGCTGGACACTCAAATAGAGAAATTGCAAGACAGCTCGGACGTTCGGCGACGTGCGTTGGTAAATACCTCCAGAATCCTGATGGCTACCATTCAGCACATATTTCGGGGCGTCCTCGATCTTTGTCCGCAAAAGACATCAGAAGAATAGCGCGGGTCGCCTCAAACTCCCCCCTTTCTGTGAGACAGATCCATGCTGCAATTAATCTACCGGTCTCAAAAATGACGATATGGCGCTATATTCGATCAAATGAGCATATCACACGAGAGACCATGAAGAAAGCTCCTCGCCTGACTGCCCAACACCAGCTGGCGAGACTGAACTTCGCGCGTGCAAACATGGCGACGTCGTGGGACAAGGTGAAGTTTTTGAGAAATTTGTAAAATCAGAAAGGCAACATCCCATGCGCTTTTCTTTCTTAGGTTATCTTCACCGATGAAAAAAAGTCCGATCTCGACGGTCCAGATGGATATCGGCACTACTGGAGAGACCTTCGTCGCGATCCATTGCTGTTCTCGAGGCGAAATTTCGGAGGCGGCTCTTTGATGGTGTGGGGTGGTTTTGGAACCAGCGGAAAGTTAGAGCTCGCCTTCCCATCGTGCCGTATGAACAGTCAGGAATATCAAGGAGTGCTCGAATCCAACCTCTTGCCTTTTCTGAGTGGGCCACGACCCAGGACACATGTGCTGCAGCAGGACAACGCCGCCGTGCATGTTTCAAATTCTACTATAAAATGGCTCCAACGCAATGGTATCAAAGTGATGGATTGGCCGGCGTGTTCTCCTGACTGCAACCCAATCGAAAACCTGTGGGGAATTATGGTTCGACGAATTTACATGAACAATCGGCAGTACAACAGCGTGCGAGACCTCAAGGAGGCGGTAGTGGCTGCATGGGAGGAAATCGACGAAGACACTATCACAAATCTTGTCCACAGCATGCCAGACAGAATGTTCGAAGTAATAGTGAACGCGGGAGGGAGCACCAAGTTTTAATTTCCATGATACTTTTGTTTTTTGTTAAGTGTCCACATACTTTTGTTATTAAGAAATTTTTTCAAAACAATAAATCATTGCTCAGTAGTTCACAATGTGCTCGTAGGTAGTGCATTCCTATACTTTCGCTTATGAGGAATTTAACAGTGATGGTCTCAGATCGCAATATCCAAAGGCAGTTTCGCAAAATCAAAATTTGGGGTGTCCACATACTTTTGTTACGCACTGTATGTCTTCATTCACACGGCTGCTTCTCCGATTAGAACTCTACGACCGTGCAAGTGATGACTTTCATGCTTTTTCGCCTGCAACTTCGTTTCTCACTGAAAGGCGGGTCTTGAAGGCTGAGTCTCGAGGGGAGTTACTGAAGAAAAGTCACTTCAGTTACTTATTAGTTAGCGAACCTATATTGCGCTATAGCGCCCCCACCTCACAATTTTTTACCGCGAAACCGTACAAGGCTGTTCATATCACTCACCCTCCTGACGCCATATTTTCAACTTCTATACCTGATCGCGGACCGCACCTTTAAAGGCATATGGAACGATAATATGGTGCTCGCTCTAAAATGCTAGCAAGGCGCCATCTAGTGGGAAAACGGCGAAAAAACGAAGTGAAACGGTCCAAAAACCGGCGAAGAAAAGCCCTCGTGCCTAATGGCTCGAAAGCAACTTTGGACGAGTTTCCCCTGCGCATCTTGCCAATATTACGGTAGATACGGCTGCACGCATGCACTCATATATCATGCAGCATCGCACCCGCTTCAAAGTCTCTTCGCTTCATATTTTACTTAGCAAATGAAGCAATACGAGCATCACTTACAGTCCTCATCATTGCGGACCGGTGGGGCGTGTCAGCCAGAAGGAGTGCGCACACTGTTGAAGCCGTTCTCAGCCTTTTTGTTGCAACGCGTATGCGACAAAAAGTGGTAGAAAACGAGTAATACGAAGGATATTATACAGTAATGCACTTGTTCGCTTCAAAAACTGGTGCAGAACGACTTTGCCAAACCGCACCAAATGCAGCCGCACTGCCACGCTCCACCGGTCCGCAATGATGAGGACTGTACGTCGTCCATTTGTAGGCGGGCGGACGTTGTGGGCGTCCGGGTCGGTATGTTGCAGATTGATAGGGATTTATAAGTGTACCTTTTTGGAAAGGCTACGCGCCTGCTCAGGGGCTGAATTCCGCCCTTTATCCGTATTAGTCCGACTCGTCTTAGGGATTTAATGTGCCAACTGATTTGAAGGAAATCGGATTGAAATAAGGAAAAACGGAGGGAGCTTTCTGTATGATCTGGGGAGGAATTTTATAAAATAATATGTTTTGAAAAAGGTGTTGATAATTCTTCCCGTTTCATGCGTTGTAATCATCCCTCACTCTCATCTTATCTGGCTTACGAAGAAATTGCTCCGAGCCGCCAGTACTTTTTTCTGGTTGATGAGAAGGAATTTTCTTAGCCTCCGGAGAATTTTTTCTACTTTTGTCTTTCCGCAGTATTTCCCGTATCACGTGCGCTTCGTTTCACGTCGTTGTTGACGATTTCCTCTCTCCTTCTCCGCGGCCGACGCTCGACGCCAGTTTTTTTATCGGGAGAAAGTGAAGGAAAAAAAGAAAAAATGGAAAATTAGCAAGGCGGAAGATTAGAGGTACATAGGATGGAGAAAGTACAGTCGTAATGGAAGAGGAATTTTCGCAGTGGGTGGAGTGGAGTCGTTATGAGACCTATTTCACTTGTCCCGATGCTGTGCTCTTTTTCAAGTTCAAATCGTATTTAAATAAATATTTAAGTAATTGATTAACCTCCTAAAAATGAGTTCTCGCATTCCAAGTGTTTTGCCTCTCTCTTAGCTACGTTATAAACCCGTTTCTCTATATACATTATGTCTTCACACTGTACCTCACGTTGAGAGAGAGGTCGTAACTGCGGATTCAAAATCGTGCGAGGGGGAGGTTTCGACGATTTCTGCTCCTTTCTAGCATTGCTCGACTTCGTCGGGTTTCAGTTTCATTAGTTGAGTGTCATTAGATCTCAAGTGCAAACAGCGAATCTTTTCGCTAGCAGAAAGCTGAAACTGCCAATTTTTCCAAGACACGGCTACGCGCGACGGTAAGTACGCAGTTGTGACCAATCTATTTTCTGGATAGAGAACATCAAGGTTTGCAGTGATTTTACAAAAAAAAAATTCTATTTTACTCACGGGATTCGTAGACATTCGCCTTTCGGGTCCTTGTTTGATTTACAATCACAATTTGATACATACAATGAATAATTGGCAGGACGATGTGGTACTCCAACTAGGTGAGCTACCTATAATTAAAATCCATGATTAGTTAATGAAAACGACTGGCAAGTACGCAATTGAGACATTGGGTCCCGCCCAATACAATGGTGTGAAATTATCAGCTGCCACTACCAATTATCCCATGTTTCACACCTATTGAACATCGCCCTCAACAACTGTCCGACTCGATTCCAGAAGGCTGGCTTTGTGACTTTGATAGATGAGTACAAATCGTAGGCGAATTAAGTGATTCCTGGCGGACAGCTGTTCCATGCGATGTCAATCCAGTGCATGCATGCTCCACGGTGCCGCGTCAAGTTGGCACACGACAAGCCAGTGTTGTCGTGCCGAACAAGCAATTTCACGAATAGATAAATGTTACCGTACCTCATGAAAGAAGATAGATCCCATGGCAGATGGAGATGATGGATAGAACTGAAATTTATAAATTACTTCTAGTCTTTTTTACAAGGACTTATTTTTTATTTTATATGCACGTGGATAAATGGGCACGCAGGCTTCCAGACTGAATGATTGAAGATTGAAGCTAATCAGTGCAATAGATCATGGGTTACTTATGACTTCACTTCTTTACTGAAGTTAATTCAGCGGCTATATTGCCTCTGAACAATTTGATTGAATAATATAGTTGATAACGCCGCAATCAGTCGGGGTGGTGCCAGGAAGGACGGAATGAGCACGCCTCCGACTGGCTTGCTCTACCGATATGATCGGTCAAAGATCGATTGGTAGAGCAACGATCGACGAAAACAACCAATGGTGAAAATGCCGCAAGTGGGCTCATTCCACCCGTCCTGAAACCGCTCCGACTGACTGCGATGATATTAACGGGATATGGGGGTGGATGATCTCGACCAGTGCATTGAAGTTAAGATTAGAGAGCTTTTCGTCTCATAACGTGGTGCTCCTGGGACTCTAAAAAAATTCAAAAAAATTTCTCAACAAAAAATGAAAGGCCCATGAAGGTTAGGATGCGTTCACTTCGGAGCAGCATCCACCAGAGATCATTAGCGTCCACAGCGTTCCCAGCGTCTGGCAGCGTCAGCGACTAGGAAAGTATGGATATCGATCTAACTTCTGCCGTATTTGGCGTCTGCCAATGTCTACCAGCGTCCACCAGCGTCTACCAGCGTCCGGGAGTGGAGAGTATGGCGCGATAGGAGGGTAGCAGACAGCTGGTAGAGTATGGGGAGATAGGAGGGTAGCAGACAGCTGGTACCCTCCTATCGCACCATACTCTCTACCAGCAGTCTGCTGCTGGTCGCTGGTGGACGCTGGTAGACGCTGGCAGACGCTAGATCGATATATATACTTTGGCGCTGCGGCTGCCAAAGGCTCGGAACGCTGGTGGTCGCTGGTGGACGCTGGCGGTCTTCCTGCAAAGCGTGAACGCAGCCTTAGAAGGTCTACGTTGCGGTGTTGCAAGTAACGTCACGTGCACTTCCATTTCAACCTATTCGGTTCATCGTGGAAATGCTACGGTATGTCGGGACAGTTAACTGGAAAACATTGTGTAAGAATAGGTTATGTAGAAGTTTGCAGAGTGGCTCATCTTGTAGCCTGCGAAGTCCAATTCCCAACGATCGTGATTTACTGACAGATTTTCCTTGGAAACTGCAACGGAGCAACAGACGCTAAGAGGGCACAAGTTCACCCACTGCAAAAACACCCCTTTTCATATTTCGCAGTTCATCTATTTGTATTTCAATATATATGAAAATTCTACATCACATCTATGTGTATGGTTTTGCAGTAATTTCTTAATTATTCTCAACAATGATTAAGGATCAGAACTTACCCCGCACAACATGACAGCCTTGTCCGTACAGAGCCCACCGACAAATGCGAGACCGCCAGCATAACGATACGTGATCAGGGCAGCGAAATCATGTGGAGGTAGCTTGTGAAGGCTGAAAAGGTCAAAGAAGCTTTCGTTCCTATAAAGCTTAACTCCTCTATTACTAGTTACGCAACTTGTAACTCATTCGCGGCCAGGATCGTGCCATCAGTGCATCGAATTGTCCAGCTGAGAAACGGGCACTGATAGGGGGAGGGTTGGGGTGATCTCATAGCTGGGCTCGATGGGTATGGTCCAAAAGGGCTAGCTGGATTGTTCACGAGGGCAACTTGGACTCGATTCCTTTGATCACTACAATTTTCTGTACTTCTCTGCACTCTCTAGTCTGCGTAGCGTTCTGTGTCCAATGTGACATCACACATTTCAGCTTTCGACATGAAAAGCACCACTGGATCCCTTCCCCCTCAAAAAAGTCCACCACTCAACGTGCCACATGTTCTTTTGCACCATGTGATGCTCTGGTAACCGCTGCTCTCTATTCGCCTGTGCTAAACGGTTTCTCAATAGGGCCATGAAAGCGTTCAAATAGTCACGCAACCGGGGCAACGACCAAGATGTCGCGCTGTGGTCTTGTGATTGGATCGTGCCCAAGCAGTCTACGACATTCATCCCTTCAACGTTCTTCTACAGGCATCAGATACAGTGGTTATCAGTGAAGTCAGTCGGGGCGTGGCAGCTGCGCTTGGGTTTGCGCGCCTAGCACATTTGCACTTCGCGCGCGCCTGCCCATTTTCCATCGATTTTTGCGATCTCATCTAAACGCGTAGTGGGAAAGGGGCAGGCGCCGCGTCAAAATTCCTGCCACGTCAACCGCCCCGACTGACTTCAATGATAACAAATGCATGCTTGAGATAGCAATACCGCGACTTTCCCTGAAGATTCTCTCTATCAAGTGGAGGAACAGGTTCCCCCGTTTTTTCCAATCCTTGTTTTCGCTGCTTTTTCGAAACCATTGATTAGACCTACCGTTGACGGCGATATTCTTGAAATCCATAAAGACTTAGATTACTGCGCATCGTTTGCAGCACATCCACAACAACAATGCCGAGGCGGAGTTGGTTGAAATACTGAAAAGTACTTGATATTTTTCAGCAACCTGGTAACTGTGAATGTAGCTGCTAAGGGAGGTCTTTTTATTTAGAAAGGTCCAATC